CATGGGACCCACCATTCTCACCACCTGTAGCAACAAAGGGGTTCTAACCTTCTTAGCTAATTCTGGGAGTGGGCTTTTTGGATCTTGTGAGGGCTATATACTCTTCTTGTGAGATGCCTCTTGCATCTTTGGTTAAGCCATAATAAAACACTTATTGGTTTTGGTCACTATGTGAAAATATAAGATCCTACTTGTCAATGGCCAGATGATAGATCCTTTAAATTGGCTATATTTAAAAGGAAAAAACAATTGAGAGCTCTCATAATAAACAGCTGTCATATTGGTACTTATGGGAGGACCAAATTCTCTATAAAAAGAAAAAAAAAGGTATAATGACTAGTCTTAGAGAATCCCTTATTAAGATTAAAAAAACCCCAGAAATTAGACTTAAAACAAAAATCCAACATAAATTCTCCTGCTTAAAAATCACCCCATCTTTTCAGCAATTTCCCAGGCTCTCCTACAAATAATCAGAAAATAAATGGGCTGGAGGCCAATATTTAAGCATTTATAGAAACAACTGTCTCTGCCTTGCAAAGCTTGTCTTACAAAGCTCTACAAAACCAGAATTACAACTCTAGAAACAAGTCAAAGCCCATCGAACTTTACTCGTCCCAAGGTCTCACCTAGTCCTCTCAAAATGCTTGCAGATATTATAGTAGATCAGGATATTGGCGCAAACTTGTCCTGTACTTAAGAAAAACATTTAATAATAATTACCCTAAGACCTACGATAATAGACAAGTATACTCCAAAACATATTTTCTTTCTCTGTCCCTTCAAGTTCTGTCATGTATTTGAATGTAAACACAGCCCACAGAGCCTGAGCCTGAGCCCGGACTAATTCAATCAGTAAAACTGGAAATTAAAAGAAAAAAGAGAGAGAGTCTTTTTCAAACACTCACTGTTAAAAGGACTTTCTTGCTCAAACTCTAGTAAGTCACAGCCTCCCTAGAATTGCTTGTCAAGGGCAAATACAGATCTTAAAAGTCTTCTACACAAATAATAAAAGACTAGCTAGCTGAGCAAATAATCTAATTCATTCCAACTGTTACTGATAAGCTAGTGAGTTTTCTATTGTACCTGATTCATGACTAAAGTTTTAAAATAAGAAATATGAGATCTCTGGCTGAGTTTATCTATATGTCCATATGTGTATGTTACCTCTGGATGGCACTGCCAAAATTAATCTGTAAAAGAGCTCTATTTAATTGGCTTAAATAAAGACTTTTTTATATAAAAAGTTTCAAATATGTAATAAAAAATAACCCAAACGTTTTTCATAATCTTTAGTAAATAAAAGCTACTTGTTGGTTAAATTAATACAGGTATATCTTCAGAGTTAGCATTAAATGTAATGTAGATAAACAACCTTTGTTCTACCTGGATGTACTAGTCAAACGGGCTAATGTTGTCTCTGTTGCAGTTTGTCAGCAAACAAACAAGATAATGACTAACTGCTTTAATGTCTCATGAAATTTTCATGAGTAATCTGATTGTTAAAAATAAATAAATTGAACAGATATAAATGTGATGAGTTTTTAGGTGAACTTTTAGACAATAATTGTTTTATGATATGTCCATTTAAATAGTTTCCTAAATCTGTTTGGTAATTTATACCCTTAGAGTTTTGCTAAGTTAACTTAAACGATGGGAATTAACTGGATGTCTAAATCATTTCCAAAAACGATAAAGTACTGAAACATTAGTTTCTAAACAAGTCTAAGTTTATACCTACTTGTTGCCTCTTGATACAGAGAAACTAAGTGTGTTTGGCTCTAGTAAAAATATCTTGTGCTTTATTGAAAGATTGTACTATGAAATAGCATGTTTCTAGAAATTATAAAATGTATTTATGTTTGTCACACCACAAAATGTTAATAAAGTTCACAACTGTTTACTTCTTTGTTTTCACTAAAAAATTAAAATTTCAAAGGATTAGGATTCCAATTAATATATGTGGTTAAAGCTGCAGATATAATAAGGGATAAGAAAAGGTATGGAGACTTTTTTTTTTTTTTTTCCGCTACGCAGGCCTCTTACTGCTGTGGCCCCTCCCGTTGTGGAGCACAGGCTCCAGACCCGCAGGCTCAGCGGCCATGGCTCACAGGCCCAGCTGCTCCGCGGCATGTGGGATCCTCCCGGACCGGGGCACGAACCCTCATCTCCTGCATCGGCAGGCGGACTCCCAACCACTGCGCCACCAGGGAAGCCCGAGACATTTTTATTAAGGAAAAAGAAAGTGATTTTGTCCTAAAGTTGGTTAGTTCTAAATGGGAAAGAAAACAAGGGACAAACTAAAATGGACAATTGTAAGTTTGTGAATAAAGGATTCTTTGGAAAGGAATTTTATGTGTGGTCATGACTGAACAAGATTAGAATGAATTTAAGTTTTAATATCAAAGTAAACTGGTATAAAATTGGAATTTGTTTTTCTCTGTTAAAAGAACAAAGTTTTTTTGGTTGTTTGTTTTTGTTTTCTATTGGTCTGCTCTTGATAATAAGAGATTATGAAAGGTTTTTCTTTACTTTCAAGTAATGTGCCTAGAAAAAAACAAAGATCTTCTGTCTTGTCAAAGTAATTACTTATGTTCTATATCTTTATCAGGTCTTTGATTCAGTAAGTAAACCCAGTCCTATCGCTATTAAAAGACCTAAATTTTGCTCAGAACTATATAACCTTCTATATTTACCTAAGAAGTCTTTAATTATTACTTTGGTTAAATGGATAATGAAGCATTGCTTCACAGCAACCTATTTAAGTCAAATATTTTTTGATATTTTTGACAACTTCTCCCAAATCAAATTCTAAATGAAAACTTTTTGACTTAGAACTAACTTTGAGACGTGAGATATTTCAGGGGCCCTCTGAAATACCCTCAAAGATTTATTCTCTCTCCTTATAAAAAGATATTAAGCTAATTAGGTGTATTTAATATGTTAAATTATATGGAAACTGTTGTCACATAAGAAGTCATGTTAAGTCTTCTTTATGCTGTGTCTGTATAGGTATG